GCACTGGGAAGACCCAGAGGGATGGGGTGGAGAGGGAGGTGGGAGGGGGGACCGGGATGGGGAATACATGTAAATCCATGGCTAATTCATTTCAATGTATGACAAAAACCACTGCAATGATGTAAAGTAATTAGCCTCCAACTAATAAAAATAAATGGAAAACAAAAAAAAAGAAAAAATAAATAAATAAATAAATAAATATCAAAGAACTGCCGAAATTCAAACAAACAAAACCATAGCTTCTAAACTTCAGTGTGTTCAAGAATTGTCTGCAGTGCGTATTAAATGTGCAGATTCCAGTTTCTTACCCTGAGGAAGTCTAATCCAGTCAATCTGGAATGGGACTTAGAAAACTGTACAGTCCACCAGCATGCCCGGGCGGTTCTGATGCAGGTGTTCCACAGATCTCAATTAGAGAAATACTGATCTCAACCCTGGTGCGTGGGCACTACAGGGATGTATTTTTTTTTTTAATGTTTAAATCTCTTTATGAAGTTCTTTCCCCAAAGAGCTGTCACACTAGCACAAACATAGGTAATTCATTTTAAAAAAAAAGATGGGGGGGGGGGGTGTGCTGTAAATTGCTTGGGGTACGAGTAAAGCTCGAAAGCAATCAAAGAAAGAAAGTAACGTTTCTTTCCCACTTCGCACACCGTTCTCCTAGCATCCTCCAGTACCTTCGAGGATGCTGCTCGTACCAGGGAACTACAACTGGGCGCCAGGGAGCAGAGTGAGGCCCTTCTCTGGTCCAGGGGATGGACAGGCGGACCCGATCTCTCCCCCAGGTCACCAGCGGTCCTCGGCCAGCTAGAGGTCGCGGCGGAGGGGGGACCGCGGCCCCCGGATCCTCCGCGGCGCACGCGCATAAACAAGTCGCTTCCAGGGGGTCAGTGATCTCGGTGGTCTACCCGCGCCCCTTACCTGCCGCATGGCCGAATATCGGGCTCCTCTTCCGGCTCCGGCTCCGGCTCCGGCGGCTCCTGCTCGCCTGCAGCCGCCGGCAGCGCCTCGGAGTCCTCCACCGTCACTTCGGCCGCAATCACTGCGCCCGCCGCCGGCACTCGCGTAGCCGAGGTGGGAGCCGCCGCGGCTCCCAGGCCGAACGCCGCCTCCGCTGTCTGTGCGAGGAGGTCAGAGGTGCGCCGCGCGGCCACTGTCCCTGCCACGAGCCCCAGCAGCAGTGGCAGTAGCAGCGCCCGTGCCAGCGACCCCGGGCCGGTGGCGCGCTCCATCAGCGGCCCGCCCCGCGAGCCGGCATGGAGGTGTAGCCGCCGGCGCCCGTCTCTCCCGCAGTTCAGAATCCCCGACCAAGGCGAGGACGCGCTAGGGACTCCGCCGCCGCCTAGACGGTCAGGAAGTCCAGCAGCTATCCCTCGGCCACGTCTTAGCCCGGCCTCCGCCAGCGCCACCTGAGTGACAGCTTCCCTCGGACATCGCCCATTGAGCGAGCTTTCCGCGCATCTGTTCGCTGATTGGCTGCAGACTCTGCCACTCTGGGCACCGACGCTAGTCTTGTTGGAGCAGGCGGGCTCTCCCGGGTTGTCAACAGCAAGGCTGCCAATCAAATTGTATTGCCTTTAGCCCGAGGCCCGCCCTCTTCCGGACGCGCTTACCAATGAGAAACTCCCCTCCAAGCAGCTTTTTTATCTGATTGGTTGATTTGGCAGTACCCAGAACACCATTCCCCAGAGAAGATTGGCCATTGTGCTGATTGGCCTCGCCCCTCAAAGCGAGGCGCTAGAGAATACTTGAATATCATTGGTGGAAACGGCTGTCCTTCAAAAGTCTGAGATAATTTCTTCTTGATTGGTTGGAAGCAGCACTTACTACGTGGCGGATTCTGACTGCGGAGAGGACAGTCCCAAGTGAAAGGAAGAGTGAAAGGCGAGTCCCTGGTGGTGGGGAGGCGGCCGATCTTCAAGGAGTTATCTCTGTGAAGTCTGGTCCGTTTGGAAAGCCAAAAGAAGAGCAGGAAAAATAAGTGACCGCACAAAACTTGTAGTTCCTGAAAGTGAAAGGGGTAACGTGAGTTGGGGAGACGATCCAGCCATCGGGCTGGGAATTACGGCTTGTTTAGAGACGCTGATTTCTTCGGTGACCTACAGCAATCTAGTCTACCCGACACGCCCCTTCCTTGTTCGAAAGAAGGAGCACAAGCCCGGTGCACTTACGTCATTTGTCTACAGTCACATAAGTAGTTATTTACGGAACCATGACTTTTCATCCAAGCCTTCTGATCCTGGTCTGCCATGCTTTGTAGCTCACTAACAGGGCAAGAAAGAGAGAAAACCACAAAAGGCCAAACTGGAGATTTGAATGCTTGGCCAAGGCAGTAGAACTTTCCATGCAGCGGTTCTGGACACCCTGAAGATTCCTGAGCAGATGAGTGAAGTGACAAGAGTTGTGGTTTAGAAACAACCCAACTGCTGTGAATTCCTCAGCAGTGTTCTCAAAAGAGCGTTAAAGATGAGACCAGTTGGGTGGCTATATGTGAGAGGCTATGTCCCCATCAAAATTTTGAAGATCTTATTTTTTCTAAGCTACTGGCATACAGACATGCTCTTAACTTCTTCAGTCCAAAAGCAAAACAAGCAAAACCCTCCACTTCCCCTTCCACAGTCAACGTATTTCATAGTTGCTCAGTTCAGAAAAAACTAAAGTGTCTTCGATTCCTCTTGTCCCTTTGTCAAACACACTACTTTTGTTCCCACAACTCCATCAAACTGCTCATGCTGTGGCCACCATTGCTAAATTCAAAAGACTATTCTTCATTTTATCATCTATATAATGAACCCAGACAGAGGATAAGGTGGTTGGATGGCATCACTATTCAATGGAAATGAACTTGGGCTAACTCTGGGTGATGGCGAAGGACAGGGAGGCCTGGCATGCTGCAGTCCATGGGGTTGCAAAGAGTCAGAGAGGACTTGGCAACTGAACAACAACAATAACTAACCCAGTACATCAGTCTTTCCCGTATAAAACACTTTTCACTGGTTTTCCAGCTTCCATGTGGGCCAAATCATAGCCCTCATTACCACCTTATTTTAACTTAATCTCCTCCTCAAAAGGCTTCTCTCCAAATAAGGTTACATTCGGGGGTACTAGGGTCAGGACTTAAAGGCATGAATTTCAAAGGAGACACAATTCAGCTCATAACACCCAGATACTCATGAGACTAGTTCTGGCACTTCTTTCAGGGTTCTGTTACCTTCCCAGTAAAGCCTCTCCTGACCATCCTTTTTAAAATTGAACTCCCCACCCCACCTCAATTCCTAAACTCCTCCCCTGCTTTATTTTTCTCTTTATTTTTTTTAATTTTTTAATTTTATATATATATATATATATCTTTTCTCTTTAACACAATCTTTTCCGTTCAGTCACTCAGTGCTGTCCGATTCTTTGGGACCCCATGGACTGCAGTACAGGCTTCCCTGTCCATTATCTCCCAAGTTTGTTCAAACTCATGTCCATTGAGTCAATGATGCTATAATTTGCATATTTATTTATTGTCTGTCTCCCTCCATGCCTACATAAATTCCATTACCATTTACACATTGATATGTTCAAAGAGCCTAAAACAATGGAAAGTATTTAGTGAGCATTTAATAAATATTTGTTGAATAAATGAAAATCTGAGGACAGAGCAAAATGGATAAATGAAGGAGATTGTAGTTGCTATAGATAGAAGGGAGTGATTAAGAAAGCAAGAACCCAGAGTATCTGGAGAAAACAAAGACTGCTGTGCCTTCCATGTTGAAAGTAGAGATTAGAAATTACCCCGAAAAGATAAATTATTTTGAAATGAAGAGAAAATAGATGAGAGAGCTCAAACTAATTGATCACTTTCTACTCAACTAAACAGGAGATCAGATCTCCTAAGTGAGAGAATATAAGAGATAGTATGAGGAAAGTGTCAGAAAATTAACATGAGATGAGAAATGATTGTTGACTATTTGTAATGCACATTTGAAATTGCCCTGGGCTATGTGCCCAGTCATGTCCAATTCTTAGTGACCCCATGGACAGTAGCCCGTCAGGCTCCTCTGTCCATGGCATTTTCCAGGCAAGAATACTGGAGAAGGGTTGCCATCTTCTTCTCCATGGAATCTTCCAAACCTAGGGATCAACCTGCATCTGTTGCATCTCCTGCATTGGCAGGCAGATCCTTTACCACCAAGCCACCTGGGAAGCCTGCATTTGAACTTAGCTTGTGTATATGTTTTAGTGGATTTAGTCTTCATAGATCTGTGACTTTTTCAAAAGATGATCATGGCATGAACAATAACAATCTGAGCTAATGAATCAGAAATCTGCTTGCCATTTGTAAATTATGCGGAAGGTTTTTATTATTGTTATTATTCATTTACCATGCAGGGAGGACCATGTGTCTACCTGCATGTAATGGGAATAAAGATGTGAACAAAACAGGCATGGTCCCTGCCCTTCTGAAGCTTAACAATTATCTAGTTAGGGAGGCAGACACTACGTTAGTAAAATATTTATATTATTAAAACCAAGAAAAATAAAAATTAAAAAAATAAAACCAAGATAAGTGCTATGATGGAAAGGGCACAGGCAGGAGAGCACAGTGGTTGAAAATGTTAGGAGAGTCAAGCTTTATATTCAAGGAAAAAAACATGCAAGAATTTCCATTTTGGAAAAAGATGAGTCCTGAGTCATGGTCAGCTGAATGGGATAAAAAATTACTGGAAGGGAAAAGAGTATGTGCCAGTTTTAACAGCATGCAGAGTCACAGTGACTACACAGTAGCTCTGGAATCTGAATCAGTGAGACCAACTGGGGCCTTGGACTCTTTAATGCAGTGCTGCAGTGCTTGACCTGGACACATCTCTCCTCGAGCGGCAAAATACAAAGAAACTGTATGAAACTAAAAATAACTACATGCATGTGCATGCATGTGCAGTTGGGGCAAATTCTGGCCCCCAAAATACAAAGAGACCAAAAACCCAACTGTCATTTTTGAAGAGCCTGGAGCAAAAGCAAGGTTGATCCCTGGGTTGGGAAGATCCCCTGGAAGAAGAAATGGCAACCCACTCTAGTATTCTTGCCTGGGAAATCCCATGGACAGAGGAGCTTGGTGGGCTACCGTCCATGGGGTCGCATAAGAGTTGGACATGACTTACCGACTAAACAATAGCAAAACTAAAATAAGTACCAATAGTACAAGAGGTGTGTATGTGTGTGTGCTCAGTCCTGTCGGACTCTTTGCGACCAGTCAAGAATACTGGAATGGGTTGCCATTTCCTCCTCCAGGGGATCTTCCTGACCCAGGGATCAAACCATCATCTCCTGTGACTCCTATATTGGCAGATTCTATTACCACTGAGCCGCTGGGGAAACTCACAGCTTGAAAGGTGAGAGTAGGTAAATGCAGTGAAAGCAGCCTAACACTAGACTTCCCAGGTGATTCAGTGGCTGAAAATCTAAGTACCAATGCCGGGGAAATGGATTTGCAATCCCTGGTCTGGGAAGATTCCACATGTTGCACAGCGACTAAGCCTGTGCACCACAACTACTGAAGCCTGAGCACCCTAGAGCCCGTGCATAAGATAAGCCACTGCAACAAGAAATTCACACACAGCAAATAGAGTGGCCCCTGCTGCTGCAACTCGAGAAAGCCCGAGTACAGCAATGAAGACCCAGCACAGCCAAAAATAAATAAATAAATAAAAATTTTTAATAAGCAAACATCTTTGCATTATCTGGGAAAATAAAGTACTAATTTAGTTATACTGTATTAGGTCAAGGATGCATGTTACAGTCTTAGGGTAATCACTTAAAGAATGATATTCATACAAAGGCGATATAACTAATGGAGGAAATGTAATAATAAAAATCTGTGATTTATTCGAAGTGGGCAAGAAAAGAGGAAAAAGAGGACAAGAAACCGGTGGGACAGGTAGAGATTAAAAACAATAAGTGGTAGCTATAAATGCCAGTATATCAGTATTGACATTAAGCATGTATGGCATAAGAACTGTTATAATACAAAGCTTATCTGCCTGGATAAAATGTAAGAGACATATTAACTGTAAGGTGAACATGCAAAAGTTATATATGCAAACAATAGCAAAAAGAGATCTGATATAATCATAATTAGATCTGGAACAGTTGATTTTTAAAATGACTTGAACATTTTTATTGGAATTTTTATTGGAATATCATCGGTTTACAACATTGTGCTAGTTTCTGTTGTACAACATCATGAAGCAACCATAAGTATACCTATATCCCCTCCCTCCTGAGCTTCCCTCCCACTCTCCCATTCCACCCTCTAGGTCATCACAGAGCACTGAGCTGAAGTCCCCGTGCTATGCAACAGCTTCCCACTGATTATCTATTTTACACATGGTAGTGTATATGCGTCAATGCTACTCTCTCAGTTCTGCCCCGCCT